ACTATATTTTCCCTAACCCCCACTGAATAAACGGAGCTGTATCACTGAATCTGCCTCACTGGAAGGGCTTTCTTCCGTCAGTGCTCACTGGCCGTCCCTGACCCCTTTCGTCGTCGCTTCTGCTCCCTTTGTCCTCGTGGAGTGGTGGCCAACGACCCACGAGGAGAGGGAGTGATCCCACATTTCCTCACCTTCATTTCTTTCTGAGGTCCTCCTGCTCCTCTGTCTACTACAGGATCCCCCTTGGGCCTTGTGCACATTGTTTTGGGTGATTCTCTGGGGAAATAACATACCTGACCTCTACATACTGCATGTCAAGAGATTGCCCCAACTGGATCAGCCACAGTGTCCCCCAGATGCTGGAGACTAAAATATACCAGAACATTCAGATTTTTTTTTTTCCTGGAATGTTCTGGATTTTTCAGGAATATTCCAGAGGCACTACTCAGACTTTTAGGATACTTCTCAGTGAAACAAGTGTTGGTAGGTGAAGCAGAGTGTAGAGTTGACTTTTCCTGTCCTACTAGCCCTCTCTGCTGTCTGACCAGAGCAGAAGATTCTAGCTCGGCATATAGAAATTGTTTATGAGACTTGGTATTGAGACTTTCCTTTCCTTTTCTTTTTTTTTTTTTTTTTTTTTTTTTGAAACAGGGACTCTCTGTAGCCCCAGCTGGCCTGGAACTCACTATATAGACCAGGCTGGCCTTGAACTCACAGAGATCTGCCTGCTTCTGCCTCCCAAGTGCTGAGACTACAGGTGTGTGCCATCACACCTGGCTAAGACTTTCCTTTTCTTTCCTTTTTTTTTTTTTCTCTCTGTGAGTATGTAGAGGTCAGAAGTCAGCAGCACGTTGTCCTAGATTGATATTTATTTATAATTATTTATTTGCATGTATATGAGTGTTTTGCCTGCTTGTATGTGTACCATGTGTGTATAATGCCTGTGGAGGCCTGAAGAGGGTATCTATGTGGACTCTGAGGACTGAACTCAGGTTGTCAGGCATGGAGGCAATGCCCTCTCCTGCTAGACCGTCTTGCTCCTTATTTGATATTTATAAGATATATTTTTTAAATTTATGTATATGTGCCTGTCTATGCCTGTGTGCAAGGGTATGAACAGAGACCCAAAGAAGGAACAGATCCCCTAGAGCTGGAGTTACAGATGTTCTGAGCTTCCATGTGGATGCTGGGGACCAAACCCAGATCCTCTGCAAGAGCAGCCAGTGCTCTTAACTGTTGAACCATCTCTCTAGTCTGTCTCTACCTTATTATTTTTTAAAAATATTTTATTTATTATTTTTATGTATATGTGTGTATTGCCTGCATGTAGGTAAGTGCACCCATGTTGTGCAATGTCCACAGAGGACAGACAAGGCTATTGGATCCCCTGGAACTGGAGTTATAGACAGTTGTCAGTTGCCATATGGGTGCTGGGATTTGAACTTGGGTCTTCTGCAAGAACAGACAGTGTTCTTAAACCACTGAGCCTCTCTCCAACCCCTCTACCTTATTTTTTGAGGCAGGGTCTCTCACTGAATCTGAAGTTCACAGATTTGACTAGCCTTGATAGACTAGGAGCTCTAGGGACCTTCTGTCTCTGTCTCCTCAGTCCTGGGATTTCAGAGATGTGTCACCTAATTACATAGGAAATGGGGATTTGAACTCAGGTCCTCTTGCTTGTGTGGCAAGCATTTCACCCATGGAGCCAGTCTTGCACCTTGTGGGGTTTGGTGTGCATATGTGTATGTGTGTTGTGTTGGGGTAGAACCCAGGGCCTTTGCACATGTTAGGCAAACACTGTAGCTCTGAACTATACCCCACCTCTCTTTTTATATTTTTTAAATATTTATTTATTTATTTATTTATTTATTTATTTTTATAGACTGATGTCGCTGTCCTAGAGATTCAATATGTAGACCAGGGCTGGCCTCAATCTCACAGAGATCTGCCTGCCTCTGCCTCTGGAGTCCTGGGGTTATAGGTGTATTTTTTTTTTAATTTATTTTATTTTTTTTTTGAGACAAGAGTCTCACTAAATTGTTGGCTACTGCCTAGCCATGCAGGAGGCCCTGGGTCCATCCCAAACCCCCAAAGTCTGTTTAACTCTGAATGATTCAGCCTGTTCCCCTCTGTCCCTGTTGACTGGGCTGGCTGGTTATCTTCTAAGGGGTTCAGACCTCGGACCAGGCAAGCCCCCATTAAGGATCCCAGCCTTTTGTTGCTGACAAAGGAAACTGGAGAGAGAGAAAAAGAGAGAGAGAGAGAGAGAGAGAGAGAGAGAGAGAGAGAGAGAGAGAGAGAGAATTTCCCTCACAGGAAACTGAGTCTCCAAGGAAATGGGGACATGGGTATTTACCCTCTTCCTGCTATGTGAGGGGAACAGGTACAGCCTCAAACTCAGGACCACCAGATTTTAACCATCCATCCAAATCCCAGAAGGGAGCCAGGCAGGTCAAACTCCCGGAGACTGATCTGCCTCTGCCTCCCAAGTGCTGGGGTTAAAGGCAGTCCCCACAATGCCCAGCTATTAGTTGTTTTTTTAAATTTTTTAAATTTATTATTTTTATATGTATACATGTATTGCCTGCATGTATGTAAGTGTAAGTGCACCCATGTCATGCAATGCCCACAGAGGATAGAGAGGCCATCAGATCCTTCTGGAACTGGAGTTACAGATGGTTGTTAGCTGCCATGTGGATGTGGGATTCGAACCCAAGTCTTCTGCAAGAACAGAAGTGTTCTTCTGCAGTGTTTCTTTTTTGTTTGTTTTTTTCTGGAGCTGAGGCCCGAGCCCAGGGCCTTGTGCTTGCTAGGCAAGTGCTCTACCACTGAGCTAAATCCCCAACCTCTATAGTCAGTGTTCTTAACTGCTGAGCCATCCCCAGACCCAGTTGGGTTTTTTTTTTTTCTTTGAGACAGGGTCTCATGTAGCCCAGGCTGGTCTCCAACTCTCTAAGTAGCCAAGGATGACCTTGAACTCCTGATCCTCCTGCCTCTAGCTGCTGGGATGGTAGCTGTGTATCACCACACCTGGTTAATGTGGTACTGGGGAGGAACCCAGGGCCCTGTGCAGGTTATGAGCATGCTCTGCCCACTCAGCCCCAGACCCTACTTTATGGTCTTGGGTGCGAATGAATGAATAAAAATTGATGTGCCACATGTGGTGGTGCACGTGCCTTTAATCCCAGCACTTGGGAGGCAGAGGCAGGTGGATCTCTGTGAGTTCAAGGCCAGCCTGGTCCACATAGTGAGTTCCAGGCCAGCTGGGGCTACAGGGAGACCCTATCTCAAAAAGACAAAAAAGAAAAAAAAGGTTGATGTTGGGTGACCAGGCCAGTCCTCCCCACTCCTGCCTTCTCCTCCTCTTATCCCTCTTCCTGTCCCCGGCTGTGCCTGGCTGCTTGGACATCTGCTAGGGTGCCTGCAGTCCCTGTGCACTCAGGGGCCTCCAGGCATATCACATATAAGTCTCTTCTCTCCCAGGTGGCACCACGCCCTACCCAGCCCTGGCAGCTCCAGGGGTGACCGCTCCCTGCCCTCTGCTGCCTGCCTGGAACAGCTTGTCCTAAGAGCTGTTGCTCTAGATTTTATTTTTGTGGTTTTCTGGAAGCCGGCTGAGCCCTCCCTCTTCCGCATCAGTGTGTAAAGTGACAGGGAAATCCTGGTGTTGGGGAAGCCCGGAGTGGTTCTCACAGACCAGTGTTTCTGTTTCAGAGTTCTGACTAGACTCCATCCCGGGAAACACAAAGGGCCGCTGATGTACCAGTCTTCTCCAGGAGGTTCCAGCCTGGAAGGGGTGCCTGTGTGCCAGATTTTGTCATAACAAAATTAAGTCCCCTCACCCTCATCTGGGGAGTCTCTTGAATGTACAGTGAAATAAACCCAGAGTGGTGACAGGTGCCTGTCATCCCAGCACTAGGGAGGTGGAGGCAAGAGGAATCAGAGTTCAACATTAGCCTCCACTACACACAGAATGTAAGGCCAGCCTGGGCTACATGAGACCCTGCCTCAAAACACCAAAAAAGGCACTGACTGCTCTTGCAGAGGACCTGGGTTCAGTTTCCAGCACCCATATGGCAGCTAACAACCATCTGTAACTCCAGTTCCAGGGGATCCAATGCTCTTTCTGGCTGCTGTTGGCATTGTACTGTATGACAAGGGTGCACTTACATATAATCAGGCAAAACCCTTATACACATAAATAAAAATCTTATTTAAAAAGCACTGCTGCAGTGGGGTCCTCACGTGCTTGGGTTGCAGCTCCCAACCTGTGTGAGCCCCTGACCAAGGGTCAGCCACTGTTTCTTCCTTCCTCTTCTCCAGCCTGTCTCTAAGAGGGGCTGGGCATGTATCTGCCTCAGGGCACCACAAGCCCCTCCAGACCCAAGTCCCATCCATTCAGAACCAAAGCACACACCTAAGGACATGAAGTTCCATCTCTGAAAAAACCACACCCCAAGTGCACCTTGTCTCTCTAGACACCAAGCCCCGCCCCTAATGGACCATGGCCCTCCAGGCACCAGGTCCCCAGGCTCCATGCTGGTCAGGTCCTAGTCTTTCCTGGCCTTATCCTGAACTGTGCTCTGGGCTCTGACATCACTGGCCTCCTTGGATCCCATGGGGGAATGTGTATACAGGGGTGGACAAGGGTGGAGGCACACAGCCAGCTGTAATGGAGGCTTCCTGCCCAGGCTGCCTGATGCCTAGGAAGCCCTTGGTGATCACTAACCCCTAGGATGTGAGGACAGCCCACCTGCTCTGCCCTCATCGCTGCAGTGGCCTGCATGAAGCAGGAGCTCATCACAGCCGCTGAGGTGCTACACCTGGGCCTGCAGAAGTGCTGGGTTTGCTGCTCCTGAACTCAGCCTGTCCAGAGCACCCAGCGGCCATTCTGTGAGGAAGCCTCTCACCAGGCCTCACACTACAGGGAACAGCTTTCTGCCCAGCAGGTTCCAGCCACCCATCACCACTAAATTGGAATCAAGGCACACACAGAGCACTGTTTTTAATGACTTTTATTAAATCTTTACAAAACAGAATACAAAATTCTGGCATTGACAGTCGGTGAAAAGGGAGTCTGGAGCTGTCAGTTCACCTGGTACAATGGGGTTAAAAGTGCATGTATTCCCCCACTTAAAAACATTTTTCTTTTTCTGTGTCTCTTTCTGTGGCCCGGCCACCCCAGCAAGTACTGTCTTCTTCACAGTGAGGAGCTTAGGGTTGGAGATGAAGGCATCAAAAGCTGCCCGCTGTCTAGATCCCCACACTGTCAGGTGACCTCAGGAACCCATGGGGGGCAAGGGTCCTCAGATTTGGGACAGAGTCTCACTGCCTGGTGAGAACCAGGGTGCCTGGGAGCACCCCCCCAAAGCCTCCTCTGGGGCTCTTTGGAAAGTCGGTCCACAGATGCAGGTAGAGTGAGCATAGGGGACTGTCACCCCCTACTGTGGCAGTCCTTTGAGACCAGGGAGGGTAGAGGTGCTGGGCAGTGGTGTCCCAGGTGACCATCCACCAGGGCCCTCCACATTCAAGTATTCTTCAACAGGGGAGCAAGTCAAATTTTTTTCTTTAAAAAAGAAAAAACTAAACTTAACATTACAAACAATCTCAAGCACATATTTTTGAGGCCAGGGGCTGCCTGTCCCAGCCCTGGAGACACCTGAGCAGGGCTGTGGCCAGGCAGGGTGGCCAGGTCCCCCAGCAGCTGCCCCCGACCAGCAGGGCCATGCCTGTAGAAAATGGGAACTCGTATTGCATAGTAGCTCCTGGCCAGGGTCAGCTCCCAGGCCCAGGTTGGGCTGGCGTAGGTGGGCCACCCAGCAGTCCTCCTCCTGGGTGCCCCAAAGGAGGTCAAGGCAGCTTCAGCCCTTTTCCTGAAAGTGGGCATGTCCAACGCTGCCCTTGGAGGCAGAGGGAAGGTGAGGGACTCCTGGGTGTGGCTGGAGCTCTGGGCAACAGGACGTGGTGGGCAAAGCCTCAAAACCCCACACCCAGGGACAAAAGAAGTGGGGGCAGGATGTGGCCAGGTCAGGCTGAGCCCTGAGAAGGGGCACCTGGGTGCCCTGGGGTGGGAAGACAGTTGAGCAGTGTCTCCCTTGTCCTGGTGGAGCCAGCTGGGATCAGGGTCCTCCTCCCGGGTCCCCTCAACTCTGTTCCTGGGAGATGGGTAGGAGGAGCGGGCGGGTCTACTCAAGGTGCGTAGAGGCCTGGGAGAACCCGATTGTCAGTCTCCAAGGGGCAGGCAGGCAGGCAGGCAGAAAAGTGGAACCCAGGGGCTGGGGGGGTGACTGGGAGCATCCCCTTCTGGTGCTCTGATGCAGAGGGACAAGGGGCTGCTGTGGTCAGTCACTGGGAAGGGAGCCTGTCCCTGAAAACGCTGAGGGCCTAAGAGGGGTTAGGGTGGTGACCTTACAGAACCCCAGTTCTGGAAGACGACAGAGTGGCTGGAGTGGGGCTGGGGCACTGGTTGTGGGACCTTCACAGTTGACAGGCGAGCATCGCAGGGCACAGGACAGTAGCCAGGACCCTCCACTCTCCTCCAGGGCACTTTCAACAGCAGTGAAAGAAATGAAAACATAGGCAGGAGATGGGGAGTGGGGGTGGGCCTGGGGACAGGGAGGGAAAACCAAACACCCCCAGCAAATGCCCCGGGCTGAATGGTATCAGGTCCCCAACCTGCAGCCTCCATGGGGCAGGGCCTATGTACAGAGGGGACTCAGAAGGGTTACCCACGGTCCCCCACAAGGACCACAGGGGCAGAGGACAGGCTGGCCCTCTGGCGGCGCTGGGCCAGCTTGGACTGGGAGGGTGGGGACAGCTGTAGGCAGCGTGAGGTAGCTCGGATGACCACAGGCTGGTCCTGCCCCACATCTTCCTCGCACTGGGCCAGCTGCCGGTTCATGGCAATGGCTTCAGCCGCAAAGGATGTGAGGTCTTTGGCACAGCTGTTCCTGGGGACAGGGTAGGGGATAGTCACAAGGGTGCACCCTTCCCTCACCCACTTTTGGGGCCCTTCCAGGTGCCAGGACCCCACTGGGAACTGATGGTAACCAGTACATCCAGCAGTAGCTTAGTCCCCACTTTTGTGGGAGGGGCTCAGTGTGAGGTGCATGCAGGGATTCACAGGGGCTTGGCCTGGCCCCTCGCAATAAGCTCAGAAAAGAAAAACCCCACATCCTACCACCCTGGGCCTCACCTCTGTAGGACCAAGGGTGTCGGCAAGGTGTTCTCTGGGGCACACTGCAAGAAGACAGGGCAGTGTCAGAGGCTGGAGGAGCTTCAGGGGTCCTGCTGTTCCCCTCAAGAGCTGCCTGGTGTGTGGCAATGTCAGCCCAAGCCTGCCATCAGCAGACCCCCATTCCCCAGGCTCCATGTGTGTGGCAGGGCCCAACTTGCCCCTGATGACAGTGCACAGCTTACTCCAGCCCTGTCAGTCCCTTAACACAGTCTCCTCCAGAAGGGATCAGAGCCCTCCCTGCCTGGGGATCAAAGTAACCAGCTCCCACCATTAAAAGCCAGCTGACAGAGGGAGGCTTGCTTCAGGGCCCCAGCCAGGCTGGCCCTCATCATCACTGCCCCTGAGCAGTGCTTCTTAGGATCCTTACTTGGCTACCAGCTCAGTGGAGAGGGTCTTGTTAGCACCCCAGGCTGCACTGGGCACTGGGGAACAAACCCCAGGCAGGCCAGCACTGAGCACTGGGGAACCCCCACCCTAGCCCTGGCCTTTTCTTTATACTTGCTACAGATCCCTAGTCCCCTCCTCAGAGCCCAGGCTCACCCCCTGCACCCAGGGGTGCTGCAGGACTTGGGCAGCGCTCAGCCTCTGCTTAGCATCGCGCACCAGCAGCTTGGAGATGAGGTCTTTGGCAGCGAAGGAGATGTGGGCCCAGTCCTTGTCGGGGAACTCATATTTGCCAGCCTGGATGCTCTCAAACAGCATGTTCTGGGGGACAGGGACAAGGTCAATGCCTGCATCCCATCACCTCAACATACACACAAGTGACCCTTAATTTGAGCAGAGGGGATGTGGGGTGCTGAGGTCCTAACAGTAGCTGGCAGGGCTGAACACTGAAGAGGTAGGAGGTCCCCACCCTATGTTACAGGGTGTAGGCACCAGTCCCTGGACAGAATTCAGGATTTGCATGGGCAGCCTAGGCAAAGTGGCTCAGGGGTGTGTGCACCACCAGCCACGGGAGGATCCAGGCTCAGCAGGGTTTGCACCAGCAGCCAGGACAGTCGGGGATGGAGGGGGTGGGGGTTGGGGTTTGTGCACCCAGGAGGCTGTGCACCTGGCAGGCAGGGCAGGCCTCGCCACGGTCCCAGCCGCAGTCGCTGCCACAGTGGCCCACAAAGGGTGGGTAACCGCTGAGTAGGATGTAGAGGATGACGCCCAGGCTCCACAGGTCGCATCGCTTGTCATAGATGCTGGCCTCTTCGCTGAAGGCCTCTACCACCTCCGGGGCCATGTACTCCGCAGAGCCACACTGTGGGGCGAGGATGGGGCTCGCCATCATCCAGGCTGCCAGGCCCCTCCCATCAGCAGAACCCCCTGGGCTCTCCCCTCTCGGTCCCACCAATCAGCAGGTGAGAGAAGCCGACCCCGCCCCCTGGAGGCACCAGCCCAACCAACCAGACGCTGTTGCTAGGAGGAAGGCCAGGCCTGCAGGGCGCCCACCCACTCGGCCTCACCGGGGTGAGCAGCTCTGGCGTGGAGATGGGGGAGCAGTCTCCGTTGAGTTTGATGCCGCTGCCTAGGTCGAAGTCACAGATCTTCACAGGGGAGACCTGGGAGTGGGCAGAGCACTGTAGGTGGGTAGCGCCTGCACCTTGTAGGGCCAAAAGCAGTGCCAGGCAATCTGCCCACAGCTGGTTAGGGTCAAGCACTTACCTGGTTGGGGTGCTCACACAGAATGTTCTCTGGCTTTAGGTCCCTGTGGGCAATGCCTGGAGGAAGGAGTAGTGGAGTTAATGGTAGGAACTTCATCAGCAACCAGGGGCTCTGTTGACATCCCCCACAGGCTGCCACCCTCCACACCTTTGTTGTGCAGGAAGTCCAGGGCACTAGCCACATCCTGTACCACCACGCTGGCTTCCAGCTCGTTGAAGTGCCGCCTCCTGTGGATGTGGCTGAGGATGGAGCCTGGAGGTCCAAGGAGGGACAGCTGGGTCACCACAGCCCAGGCAGGAGGCTCCCAACACCATCTCTACCCCAGCAGGAATGCCCCCCTGCTTCTAGGGCCCAAAGCCCTAGGTGAGCACCACCAGGACACGGCACTGGACCTAGACCCTTCCCAAGGCTGGGACCCCATAAGGGTCCTTCCTGGTGGACCCCAGACCCCATTCTGTAAGGGACCAGGTGGAAATTCCCCACCTACCTCCGCGCATCTTCTCAAACACCAGGTAGAAGCGGTCCTCCTCCTCAAAGAATTCAATCAGCTCTAGAACATTCCTGGGTTGGGGAGAAGAGACAGAGAAACTGAGGCACCCTGTGGCCCTGAGCACCTTGTCTGGAAGGGGTCTGCAACAGACCCTGGAGGGATGCCAGTGGCCAGTGTCTCACCTGTGTCCCTGGCACTGATACAGCATCTCCACCTCCCGGAACACCCGGCTGCGGGTATGACCCAGCTGCTTCTCAATGATCTGAAATGGGGACATGGGGTGCAGGTCAGTCACTCATGGAGGACACATAAGGGGTGCCAGTCACCCTCAGGGGATGCACACAGGATGCCACTCAGCCAGTAAATCACCTGTGGGGGACATGGGGTACAGGTCAGCCACCTACTACAGAGGACGAGGTGCAGGCAGCCCCCCCAAACCCACCCAGGACCCTTGTATAAACTCCATGGCCAGAGTTCAGTCCCACAGCCCTGCAGAGCAGGGCCTATGGGCCTGGAACTTGCATTGTCAGCAGAATAGGGGTGGCTGGCTGCCCCAGGGAGCTCAGGCAGGGAGGGAGGGAGGAGGGGGACGAGGCAGTGAAACCCCTTGCTGCTCTCCATTCAACCCCATCACCTCAGAGGACTACTCATGGCCTCTGAAGGAGCCGCTGGACAGGGTGAGGGTCGGGGACTGGGTGGTGATCACCCACCCCTGGATCAACAGAAGTCAGGCCAGCCAAGTCTCAGCTCCCAGGCAGTTATTCCCACTTGACCAGTGCAGCAAGGGAGCTTTCTGTCACTTGGCCACCAGCCCAGTCAGTCCCCAGCACAAAGTCATGCTTCCTCGGCTCTAAGCCAGACTGGTCAGACAGCCCCATGAGCCTGGGTCTGGCTCCAGCCAGCAGTGGACCTGATTTCCCAGGAACTTGACCCTCAGGAGGCCAGCACACTTCTATAACTAGTAGCCAGAAGTCCCAGAAGGTTCTGTCTCTGAAGATCCTTTGCTCCTGGCACAGAGGAGTCCCCATGGCCCTTGGTGCTCCCTTTCCAGGGTAGAAACCAAAGCCCCTTTCACTCAGTAGGTGAAGGGTGCAGTGTCTCCCTGCCTGTGTACTGTTTCAGCAAGGGGGCTCCTGGGACACTTCTGTCACTGAGAGTCAGGCCTAAAAGGTACCCCAGAATGTTCTAGATCAAACAAACCTCACTCCTGGGAGAAAGCAGGGGCCCAGCTCCAGAGGCCGCCATACCTCCTGGCCAGAGAATAGCCCAGTTACCTCCAGAGGTCTGTGCACATACGCCTCTCTCAGTCACTGGGTATTCATAAAATTCTCCATCCCACCGAACCACCTCCCACTGCTTACAGGCATCAATGGCTGCCACAGGATACCACAAACAAGCCCTCAGATCTCAGCACCCACACACTGGCTCACAGCAATCAGGAGCTACCATGTGGCCCATGCAGCTCTGGCCACCAACAGCATGTAAGAGTGACAAGTAGTGATGCCTTCCCTGTGTGTGTGACTCTCCCACCAGCCTGTCAACTCGCAGGGAATAGGTTCCCTGGCACCTAGGCCCCCTAACTTCTGAAAGACAAAACTTTTCTTAAGCTTTCCTTCCCCTCCTCCAGACACAGGAACCATTGCATTGGCCAGGCTAGCCCTACTCACAGGTGGCACCTGCCTCTTCTAAGACAGCAGCACCACCCAGCCTCGGAGCAGGATGTCTGGTCACAGGGCTCCCCGAAATGGGTTGTCTGGACATGGGGCCCGTATGGCTGGTCACAAGGCCATACCAGGCCCTGTCAGAGCTTTAGGTCCATGCAGGAGGGGGAGAAGCAGATAGGACACTCTTGGAAACTTGCACTGGGTTTTTTTCCAAAGATCCCCCACCCCAGGGACCCCATGTCATTCCATAGCTTTTTTTTTTTTTTTTGGTCTGTTCAAGACAGAGAGGTTTCCCTGTAGCCCCGCCTGGCTAGAATTCACTATGTAGCCAGGCTGGCCTGTATCTCACAGAGATCCATCCACCTCTGCCTCCTGAGTGCTGGGGTCAAAGGCATGCGCCACCATGCCTGGCTGGCCATAGCTTTTTAAGTCTCTGCAATCGTTCTCCAGACCAGTCACCCTTAGAGGTAGGGGACTTGCCTGTGGGACACAAGGCAGTTTGGCCGCTGACTGACGTCCCTAGCTCTCAGCAGTAATGCTAAGGGTTGTTAGCCATCACAGCGTGAGGCCAGCACGGCCCAGCTGTCACTGTCCCCTCCTGCTTAACTCTGGGGCTGACCTGGATTCCCAGGGTAGCCTGAGTCACAAGCCCTGGGGCCATTTTTAGAATCTGGTTTTCCCTGGCTGTCATCTGGGGGCTCAGAGGCCATTTGGCCCTGGCCTCTTGCAGCTCACCTTGACTGCGTACTCCTGGTTGGTGATGAGGTTGATGCAGGTCTGCACACGGGCATGAGCCCCTTCCCCCAGCACGTCTTCCCGCAGTTGGTAGACATCTGGGGCGCAAGGGGTGAGGTGAGGGCCAGCCCAGTGCTGCCTCCCCAGCAGCCCCCCACCCACTGCCCTGCTCACCTTCAAAACGGCCAGAGAAGCTGTCGGTAGCCCGACACCTCTTCTTTTTTCGGCCTCTCTTTTTGGCATCTGGGATGTCAATGGGCTGGCTGGCAGGCATGTCTGCATAGGGGAATGGGGAGGCTCAGAAGGGGAGGAGTCTGGCCCAGCATCCCCTGGGGGACCCCTAGTGTCCTGCCACCCGGCCCCCAGGGGCTCACCAGGGCGTGTCTCGCACTGTGGGCTGAAGTCTGTGTGCCTGTGCTGGGCCGAGTCTAGTGAGAAGGCCAGCTCGAAGGGATTCTGCCCCTGGGGGAGAGGAGAGGAGCATGCTCAGGACTGACAGGATGCCACACCATGCAGTGACCCTCCCCCCCGTGATTACTCCATCACAGCACTAAGGCCAGAGCCCCCAGCCACCTAACAGGCAGGCAGTACCAGGCAGGGCCCTTAGCCTCTGGAGTGACCTCCTCTTCTCCCCACTCTGCATGTGACTTTCCATAGAAGCAGTCCAGTGCCTCAACATGGCAAGTGACCCCAGGATGCAGAGTCTCTTGTGGTCCATGTGCCTGACTCAGGTTCTCTAAAAGATACTGTGTCCTGTTAGGGGACATCTGTGATTGTCACCTCCTCCTTTTTCCTGGCATGGGGTCGGGGGATACCAAAGACTCTGCTCAGTATCCTACAGAGCCTAGGACACCCCACAGAGAATGACTAGCTCTGTGTCCACTGTGCCAAGGGAGTTGGTGCCTGACCATGGAGGAACATGACCTCCCTTTACCAGCCTGGGGCTGAATGACAGAAGCCTGAGGAGACACACGGACAGCCTTGTCTATCAGAGGTAGTATGGGGACGCCTGTCCAGCTAGCTGACAGCAGGGCTGACCCTGGGGCCAGGCATGGGAACAAAGACAGGGACCATGGCAGGGAAGCCTCCAGTGGGGCTGGCAGCTTGCCTTCCCACAGCCTTCCAGGCTGTCTCAGGGCCACACCCTAGGCTTTTGAGGCCTCAGTTTCCCTGTGACACAGGGTATAACCACCTCTCTTCCCCATGCTACATGCTCTCCTCCCATGAATGCAGGACCTGACTTCTGGGAGGCTCTGCACCCTGTGGACACTTGGACAACCCTCTCCATACTCCCAAAGCCTTCTATCCTCTGAAGACTACCAGCTCCAGGGGTCATCAATCTGGTTCACACAGCATAGTGGCCAGGATCCAGGTGCATCCCTAGTGTGTGGATAAGAATGTACAGGGCCCTGTGCAGCCCGCAGCCTGTGTTGTCTCATGTCAGCTGCTCCAGGCCTTGGTACCCAGCTGAGGAGTCTACTTCTGGGTGTGGCCAAGAGAATAAACCACTTCCCCACCATGGGTGCAGATTGAGGGCCCTGT